ACAGAGTCAGAAACACTAGAGTCAACAACAGCATACATAGCATGAGGAGCACTAATCAGATCAACTAACTGCTCAGCAGACATGCCCCACAGAGCGGAGCCGTGGCGCTGAACCAGAGGAAGCCAGTCAGGAGCAGGACCGCCAACCCCGTAGGTCAACCGGACCGTGTCAGTGAGCTGAGCAAAGCACTGACCAGGGGGGTGAAAGCGGCCACAAGGGTGGCCCCGACGAGGACCTGTCTGAACCTGGTAGGGGCAGGGAGGGTAAGCAGCACCGCGCTGGGGCTGACGCAGCCCCGACCCCGGAGCCAGCTGCTGACGCTGCTGCTGCTGAGGCTGCTGGGAGGAAAGGGGCTGCTGCTGCTGCTGAAGGTGCTGCTGACGCTGAGCCTGGTACCACGCCGCTGCTCCACCTAGCGGGGCCGGCAGTACAGGAGGCGACTGACGAGCTCGAGGGTCGCCGCCACCAGCAGGTGCAGTGGAGTCACCAGCCGCTGCACGAGGGGTCTCTCCAGACGCTGCACTCCCACCACCGCCAGTCGCAACAGCACCCCCACTACCTCCGCTACCTCCGCCTCCACCTCCACCGGAACCACCTTTCTTGCCCCCCCTGCCGCGGGACCGCGACGCAGTCGTAACAGCAGCCGCAGTCGCGTCACTAGCGGCAGTGGCAAGAGAGGCAGTGAAGGTGGGTAACTGCGGGACTGTGCACCCGTGGAAGAGTGGGGGGGACACAGTACCAGAGGCGGCAGCTACCGAACGAAGGTTGCTCTCGACGTCCTTGAGTGCAGACTCAAGGACCTCGATAGTCAGCTCACTAGGGTGCTTCAGCAGAAGCGCGTCACGAACGGAGGCAAGGCGGTCAGGGAGGCTAGTGGCGATGAAATAGACAGTAATCGCCATGGGGGGAAGAAGCAGTGCAAGCTGTGCCTCAGTGCAAGCAGCGCGGTAACTAGCGTCGAGCGAGCGGAGGTAAGCGATCAAGTCAGCAGAGCGCTCAAACGAGGCAAGACCAGGAAACAGGAACGGGAGGAAAAGACGGCCGAGAGAGACAGTAGCGGGAGTAGAGTAGCGGGCCTTAATCGCAGTGAGGTACGCAGCAGCGGTGCGAACCTGAGTAAAGTGGACCTCCTCGGACTCAGGGAGGAGGCTGCTGAGTGCGATGCAGGCCGCAGCGTCACGCGACGTCCAAGCCGTCCGGTCAGCGCGCTGACGGGCAAAGCGAGCCGTAGCAGCGTCGTCAGGAGCAGGGCCTAAAGCGGTAGGCTCGGGGGGCTCGAGGAGGTCACCAGTAGCGTGTGACCAGAGGGTCTCGCCCCCCTGGACCTGACTCTCTAACAGACGACGAGCGCGAAGAAGCCAGACGGAAAAGTCAAGGGGTCTACCGTCAGCGTCGAAACGAAGAACTCGCGGAGTCGCCATAGTGAGAACCAACGCGAACGAACAGGCGAGTAACAACCGGGGGGGAAGAGGACTCAGTCGCAGCGGAAGAGCGGGCTAGGGCGACGGGCCAAAACGTAGGGTAGGGCAACGGGCCAGGGCCTAGGGTAGGGCGACGGGCCAGAGCCTAGGGAGGGCGACGGGCCAGGGCCTAGGGAGGGCGACGGGCTAGGGCCTAGGGAGGGCGACGCGACGGGAGAAAGGGCGGGAGCGACGCGACGGGGCAGGGCGACGCGACGGGACAGGGCGACGCGACGGGGCAGGGCGGCGCGACGGAGCAGGGCGACGGGACAGGGCAGGGCGACGCGACGGGGTAGGGCGACGCGACGGGACAGGGCGACGGGACGGGACGGGACGGGACAGGGCGACGCGACGGGACGGGACAGGGCGACGCGACGGGACAGGGCGACGCGACGGGACGGGACAGGGCGACGCGACGGGACAGGGCGACGGTACGGGACAGGGCGACGCGACGGGACAGGGCGACGGGACAGGGCAGGGCGACTCGACGGGACAGGGGGGGAACAGGCGGGCGCGACGCGACGGGGGGAACAGGCGCGACGCGACGGGGGGAACGGGCGCGACGCGACGGGGGGAACGGGCGCGACGCGACGGGGGGAACGGGCGCGACGCGACGGGGGAGATGATGCTAGGCTCGGTACTAGGCGCGGTAACAACTAAACTGGTACGAACGAGAGGTAGGATCAGGCTCGGGAGGTACGAACGGAGAACGGAGGAACGGGATCCCACAGGATCCTAACCTAGCTGATACCATGTCAGAATGAGGAATGGGTGTTGCATTGATGTTGGTTGGGGTACATATGACAAACCCTAACTTCTGTACCCCCTAAGACAAACCTCACTACAGGCTACAACATTTGACACCTCAGTCCCAGGCTCGTCGCACGACAACCACAGTCCATTACCGTTACCACTGTAGTTTCGCTATATATTCTTCGCTCATACCTTCGCTCATTGTATTCTTGCTTCGATAGTGCAATTCTCGTTCGTATCAAGTAGATACAACGGAATAGGAAGAACCTGTAAGGAAATTCCCTTTTCCTTACTTCGCGTCCCTGCTCAACGCGTACATCACTATAGCACCTCAGTCAGCATCGTTACCACTCGCGACCATCACATCATTCATCATCCCGCCCTTTTCGCACATCGCATCCCGACCTCACGGCTCGGCTGGTAACCCGCGCTCCACCCTACGCTTCGACACTTTCCAAACCTCAGTCCTAGGCTCGTCGCGCGACCATTACCGTTACCACTATAGTTTCGCTATATAATGTTCGCTCATGCCTTCGCTCAATTGTTTTCTTGCCTCGATAGTGCAATTCTCGTTCGTTCACTCAATTGCACTCGTAACAGAACCCTATTATTGTACTACAACGCGCAAATTGCCAGAGTCCCCGTGCTTACCGTATCTCGAGAACCCCCATTCCGTCGCTCTATGCCCTTCGCTGGGATTTTGTCAACTCGTTCACAAGCCGTGCAAGCACCCATCCTACAGAGGTTGAACACGGTATGACGGCTCTTAAAACGATAACAGTACGGTAACCGCAACAGTAATAACAACTCCGTTTTCCAACACCCCATCTGGATTCCAGTCCACACTATTCCAACATTTTCTGCTCTCCCGCCAAAACAGTTCTTGCGCTGCTGCCAGGTTACAACCCAGAATCGACATGGCACTGCGAGGCCAGTACGGACTGTCCGTCGATTAGCCTGTCTGTTTCGGTCGCGATATGAACTTTGAAGATGGTCCTAGCCCCTGTCCTTCACTGAATAATGCCGGCATTTCGAGGTGACTTTTGAGTCAACTCCATGGTCGAGTTTTGAGTCGGCTCAGTGGTCGTAACCCGTGTCTTTGATTGATTCATGCCGGCATTCCATCATTCCGTGTCTCTTACTGTTCCATCCAACGCGAGAATGACTCGGGCGTCACATTGACCATCCTTAGTTTACGCCGCCATTTGCGGCCGAATTCCGCTTAATCTCGCGGGCGAGACGCCGCAATGGCCGGCCGTCGCCGCGCGTCGTTTCCGGCGATGTCGCTGGTCAAGTACTTGCTACCCGCATACTACCTCCGTCGGCCGAAGCGCCTCTTCGTCCTCTCGTTTCTCCTCATCGCCGGGATGTTTCTCCTCCTGCGCCGACAGCACAAAGCGCGCCAAGTGAAGGTGCAGTCGAAACGGTTCGGACGGCAGTTAGGCTCGGTTACAAAGTAAAGTCTGCGTGGCTTAACTGAAGTGCGGCATTGCGTTACACTTAGCTTTTGAATGAAGCCAGGCTCGGCCGAACCTACTTTCTGGGTTGGAGCCAGGTTTGGCCTGGCCAGACCCATCTTGTCGATCGTCATAGTCGATGCGATCAAATTGTATTCCTGACAATCGCGAATCGCGATCCTTATCCGCTCAATCCCTGACCCCGAATGGCTCTGTTTCTCTCTCCTCCACACTTCTCCCGTTTCCTTCCTTCCTCCCCAAAAGAAACAATCCCGAACAACTTCCATACAACCCCCCAAAGTCCTTTATTCAACCCCCCAAGCTCCCTTGAACACCCTTCCAAACACCCCACTCACTGATGGCAGGCACTCACAGCGAGGGTGCAGGCGTTGCACAGCCAGAAACAAAGCATGGTGGCCGAGGTGAGCCTCGCTATAGAGTGAGACTCTCTGTAAGGTGAGACTCGCTATAAGGTGACACTCGCTATAAGGTGAGACTTCCTAAATGGTGAGACTCGCTATAAGGTGAGACTTGCTATAATGTGAGACTCGCTATAAGGTGAGACTTGCTACAAGGTGACACTCCAAGGGTACGTAAACCCGCTATAAGGTGAGACTGTTGAAGGTGGGACTCAGTAAAAGACACCCCAGGTTGTCCTTTGCTATAAGGGCACCGGGAGCAGCTAGTTTATCCAACTTTGATAGTGCAATAACCCTACTCGTTTTTATTGTTCCATGACCAGTCTCCAGTCCTGTTGTTGGATCATTCCCATAATTCATGCCCGTTATTGCTTGCAACCTCTATAGTGCCTGGAAATGTGAAAAGGACACACGTGCAACCACATGGCGAGCCAACCTCTTGCCCCCTCCTCAAATCTTTCCCCTATGGCAGCTGGAAAAGACGCGTAGGGGAGACAATGGAGCATCCAAGGAGGGAGGGGAGGCAGGGGAGGAAGAGCAGTCGTTTCGAGTCGTACCTGTTAACCTTAGAGGGCGAGGGCGCGCGGGAGTGGGGGAACGAGTGAGAGGTGGAGGGAGAAGAGGAGCGAGAGGAGGGAGAGGCGGAGAGATGGAAGGGCGGGGAGGAGAGGGGAGGAGGAGACGGAGGGGACGATCTAGAAGGAAGAGAAGGAGGAGGAGGAGAGGGGGCGCTGGGGGAGGTAGATTGAGAGGAGCGGGGATGGGTGGGGACGGGGCTGGGGCTGGTGATGTGCCTGGGGAAGGGCTGGGTGGGGATGGACAGGATGGGGGGGGGGAGGGGGAGGGTGATGAGAGAGGGGGAGGAGGGGGAAGAGGGGGTGGAGGAGAAAAGAGAGGCGATTCGAGAGGCGATGGCGCATGCTTGGAAGGGGTACAGGCAGTATGCATGGGGCATGGATGAACTTCAGGTGCGAGCAGGTCTGCAGTGGTTGAGATGGGTGATGATGGTGCATGCACATGCATGGTAGTGGAAGGGGTACAGGCAGTATGCATGGGGCATGGATGAACTTCTGGTGCAAGCAGGTTTTGGGTCAAAGTCATGGGGTAGAGAATGACGCTGCATGGATAGGAAGGGGTACTGTCATGGGTCAAAGTCACTATGCATGGGGTCTGGGCGAACTGCAGTTGCACACAGGGTGGCATGATGGCATGGTGAGGTGATGGTGTTGTGCCATGATGGTGTGGTGGCATCATGGTGTGGTGGTATGGCTGCGTGGTGGCATGTGGCACAATGGCATTATGGGAGCATCCCTCCATCCCCCCCTGCCACCTGTCCTATCCTATCCTCCCTGCATACCTACATTCCTCCCTGTACCACCTGTCCTGTTTTCCGTGCATCCCCCTGCTCCCACCACCAGCCGCGCACCAAGACCGGGGCAAACCACTTTGGGGGGCTGGGGTTGACCATCGTTGACTCGCTTGACTCGCTCTACCTCATGGGGCTCACCAAGGAGTTCAATGAGGCCAAGAGGTAAGCAGTGTGGTGCGGTGTGGTGTGGTGTGGCGTGGGAGTATGGAGTAGCGAGTTTACCATCGGCCTATGAAGGAGTTCAATGAGGCCAAGAGGAAACGGGTCCGGTGTAGTGTGGTAGGGTGTGGCTTGGCACGGTGTGGCATGGTGTGGCTTGGCACGGTGTGGCATGGTGTGGCTTGTGCTACGTTCATGATCCAGTGCCATGACATTGTATGCCATGCCATGGCATGGTGTGACACAGCAAGGCTTCACATGGCATGGTAAGGCATGGGCATAGTATGGCAAGGTACGGTATGATATGGCATGGTATAGCATCCCAGTGCGTGCACCCTGTAGGGTGTTTTTGAGAATTCTCAAAAACACCCTACGGTATGATATGGCATGGTATGGCATCCCAGTGCGTGCACCCTCTCACCACTCTCAATGCTTCTCCACCCCCCCCTGTCCCGCTTCCCCTGTCTACTCCTTTTCTCTCAATTCCTTGACTTGCCATCATCACCCTCCCACTCCCTGCCTCTCTCCCCAACCCCCACCCTTCCATCGCTCTTCAATCCTCTCTCCCCCTCGCTCTATCAGCTGGGTGCACCCCCCCTCCAAATCCGCTCCTATTCCACTCCTGTTCTTGTCCTTCCTCCCTCTCCCCCCCCTCTCTGCCAGCTGGGTGCACGAGAAGCTCTTCTTCGAGCATGACTATGACGCCAACGTCTTCGAAACCACCATTCGGTATGCACCACACCGCACCGCACCACACCGCACCGCACGCGACGTCACCGTCAGTTGTAGCATTTTTCGGTTCACAAAGCTCCTCTGTCCACGGATCACGTGATCAGGTTCTACATGTTTTTTTCCGGAATAAGTTGTTCTCATATGACCACATAATCGTATTTTTTGAGCTGGTAACATTCCATTGGTGAACGATCATGTCTTTCCCGTACTTCCTCTCCGCCACCCTTCCCCCTTCCCCCCTCTCCAGCATACTACGCGGGCGGGCTACTGAGTGCGTACGACCTGTCAGGCGACCCAATGCTGCTGGCCAAAGCATGCTCCAAAGCCCAAAGACACTCCTCCACATGCCCAACCCACCATCCCCCCTCCACCGCTCTCTCCCTCTCCAGCATTCTGGGCGGGCTTCTGAGTGCGTATGACCTCTCCGGCGACCCAATGCTGCTGGCCAAAGCAAAGGAGCTCGCAGACAAGCTGCTGCCAGCCTTCACCACGCCCACAGGCATCCCACTCGCCTTTGTCAACCTCGCCAGTGGCACTTCTCGCTCGCACGGGTGGACTGGGGTGAGTTGATGATGGCTCTAGGGGCACACACACACACACGCATAGGGGGCTGGAGCCTAGAGAAGGGAGGCGGACTCCACCCCCACAGGCATCCCACTCGCCTTTGTCAACCTCGCCAGTGGCACCGCACGCTCGCTCTATAGGGGCTTACAGTAGGGGAGGGAACTCTCCGCGCTCTTGAGATTTTAGGGCACGACATGATATTGTAGGGCACGACATGAGATTGTAGGGCACGACATGAGATTTTAGGGCACGACACGAGCATCCCTATGCTGGAGCCTAGAGCATAGGGATGGGCATTCCGCCCCCAGGCAAGCTGCAGCCCGCCTACTCCATGCGCATGTGCATTCCGCCCCCACAAATGATCATCCCTGCTAGCAGCACCGCGCGTTCACCCGGATGGAGTGGGGTGAGTCTTGTGTGATACTCCCTGGGCATGAGCAGAGCAGTGGGCGGAAGGCTTGAGTTGTGCTGCTCGCTAGTGGCATGGGGCACCGCAACGCTGACCGACATAGGCTTTAACTTCTCAAAAGTGGGGCACCGCAACGCTGACACACATAGGCTTTAACTTCTAAAAAGTGGGGCACCACAGTGGCTTCTGAGGCGCCTCAGGCAGCGCCTCAGAAATGGGGCACCGCAGGCAGCGCCGCTGACGGACATAGGCTTTAACTTCTCATGTTCGACCAGAGAGCTTGACGATCAGTCCACGCCTCTCCTATGCACTTGCCAACGTGCCTTCCCTCCCATGCCCCCAGCGCTCCGCAATGCGGGCAGATCTGGGCTCCACGCAGCTCGAAATGAATGCTGGCACCCTCTCCACGCACCCCCCCCTCTCCCCGTTTGTGCCCACTCGCATTCAATTGTGGCCCTGTGTCTGTTCTCCCGCATCCCATCCCTGTCCATGCGCCCATTCCATGCCAGCGCTCATCACTGCTGGCAGATCTGGGCTCCGCGCCGCTCGAGATGACGGCACTCTCTCAACAATCTCACCACCTTGTGTGTTCCTTTCATCGCATCCCTGTCCATGCGCCCATTCCATTGCCCCAGCGCTCCGCACTACTGGCAGACCTGGGCTCAACACAGCTAGAGATGGTGGCACTCTCCCAGCGCACCGGCGATCCCAAATACGCCAACGCTGTACGCACCTTCCCTCCCCTCCCCTCCCCTCCTTCCAAGCACCTTCCCTACCCTGCCCTCCCCTCCTCTCCCCTTCCCTCCTTACACGCACCTCCCCTTCCCTCCTTACACGCACCTCCCCTTCCCTCCTTACACGCACCCCCCTTCCCTCCTTACACGCACCTCCCCTTCCCTCCTTACACGCACCTCCCCTCCCCCCCTAGTGAGAAACCTCTCTCCCTTGCAGCAAGTGTCCCTTGCATGCTACTCGATCCGTTTGTATTCCCCGGGGGTCCAAAGCGAGCAACGCCAAGCCAACCACTCCTGCTCTGCTTGAGGTTATCTGTAACAGACGATGGCTCCAACCAACCACTAGTGGACAGGACAGCAATGACTGCAGCCATCCACTCAGTGGCGTGAAAGCCCGACAGAGCATCCGAATAGGACTGAGGGGTGGGCGGGAATTAGCCTTGAGCACAAGGGCGGACACCTGTTCGGTTCGCCTCGAACATGTTCGTGGCGACTCGAACACTTGTATTTTTTTGGCGTAAAGTGTACGGGGCAAACATGTTCGTGTTCGGTTCGCCGCGGCTAGCCGAGCCGCGCCAAACACAAACACGTTAGTGTTCGAGACAAACAACAATGTGCTCGCCAGAAAAGTCCCTCAATCCTTTGTTTGAGCTCATTCCTAAGCTCAACTTTTGCCATACCCCCCTCCGACAGCATAGAATACAAGCTCCAGCAACTATTGTACCTAGACTCTAATGAAGTAGGCTGTATCAAAATCTAGTCTTTGGTGTTTCATTTCCTCCTGTTCCAATCGTCCTTCCACCCTGTGACGAGGTATAGCCACACACACCTCCCTGGACGCCAAAATCCACCATGCCTCCAACCTGTGACTATGATGAAGGCTGCGTACAGGAAATGTCACAAACATGTTTTGAGTCGACCCAAAACAGGCGAACACAAGGTGCTGTTCGCCTGTGAAGGCGAGTCGCAAACACCCTCTTTGGTGGGAGGTGTTCGTGCCCGGGCGAACACGAACATGTTAAGGTTCGCCCTTTGCTCCTACCTAGTGGGAATAGGAGCAGTGTCAACGGAGAGAAGAGTGGGGGAATTGCTGAAATCGACAATGGTGACATAGAGAAGAGGAGAAACAGGACAAACAGAAAAGAGCTCCTTGAGGATCGTTTCGAGAAGCTCTTTTCTCTCATTTCTCTCAAAACGATCCTCAAGAAGATCAAGGTCAACATGAGAGAAACACGCGGAAGGAGAGAGGCTAAATGAGCAGAGCGCTGAAAGCTTGACAGCGCGCGGGACATGGAACGAGTAACGCACTGAGAAGGGGGGGGAGCGAAAACAGGAGGAAGGTAAACAGGGGTTGACTTAGAAGTCAACTTCTTGGCACAGTACCTTTGACTTTCTAAACCTTATCTCCTCTCCTCTCTTCTCCTCTCCCCTTTGTTGGTCTGCCTGCCCAGTCGGAGCACGTCATCCGTCAGATCGCCAAGATCTTTCCATCCGACGGTTTGCTGCCAGTGCTCATCGGCACTGTCAGTGGCAAGCCCACCTCTCGCCACATCACGCTTGGATCCATGGGGGACATGTGAGATGCGGTGAAGTGCGGTGAGATGTGGTGAGGTGTGGTGTGATGAGGTGCAGTGTGACTGGGCATGGTGTTCAGGTAGCTCACTGCCACTGGCAAGCCCAACTCTCGCCGGATCACGTTTGTGACGGGGGGAAAGGTGATGAGATGTGTGGCGAGGTGCAATGAAGTATGGTGAAGTACGGTATTATGTGGTGAGATGAGGTGCAGTGTTGCTGGGCATCAGGTTCACATATCCCACTTCCACCGTTAAGCTTACCTCTCACACGTTTGGTTCCATGGGGGATAGGTGGGGTGCGCAGATAGGTGGGGTGCGCAGAAAGGTGGGGTGCGCAGATAGAATAGGTGGTGCAGTGAGCTCACATGGCAGTGGTGCTTGGCCCGCGTACATTCCCGCGCATTCCCACGCATTCCCATGCATTCCCCCTTTGTGTTCTCTGCCGTTTGTTAATGAGCAAACATATTAAGAGTGCAGGACCTAACACCACCGTCTCTACGGCAATCGAGCATGCCACTTTCAACGATGCCATTCCTCGCTTGATGGAATTCCCTCCCTCTCTTTCTCTCTCCCATCCCTGTGCACCACCAGTTTCTATGAGTATCTACTCAAAGTGTGGGTGCAAGGTGGTGGAACACCCTACGTTCAAAGATACAGGTGGGTGGGTGAGGGCTCTGAGGCGTCTTGGAAATCGTTTGACGTGTCTTTTGAACAAGTGAGTGAGGGGTTTGAGATGCCAGAATTGTTTGTCGTCATTTGGCATGTCTTGTGAAGGAGCGAGTGATGCACAGGTTCAGCATTAATGAAGGTCGATCGGGTTTTCTCCCGTGATAGACCGAAACATGTTTGAATTTTTCTTTTTCTAATCAAGAGACGAGTTCCGATCAAACCGAGGCACGTCAAACTTTGCTGCTCTTCCCCATGGGTGAGGACCCGTGGGACCTCACGTTCGTAACTCGTTTGACATCCTTCGACGTGTCTTTTGAATGAGATGCATGCACGAAGCGCCTCCGTCTCAAAAGCCGCCTACTCTTATTGTGGCGGGGCGGCTCATGGGTGTCCAGCTGGGGATAGCCGTAGAACTCTATGCAGAGCGATTTGAGATGTCTCAAAATGAATCTTCATACTTGTGGCGGGGCGGCTCAATGGTGTCTAGATGGGGATAGCCATAGAACTCTATCTAGAGCAGGGCTAAAGTTAGACTTTTCGAACTTTTTGGGCTCCCTTCAGAAAATGCCCTGAAAACGCAGGGCCAGCCAAAAAACCGCTCGGAAAATCAGGGCTGGCCTAAAATTTCCTCGTTGAAATAATTCGATAGTTCCGCGGCAATGGTGGAGACTTCTTTCTGACTAAATGTGATGTTGAAACTCTGTGTTGGTGCACTTGTGCTGCTTTCATGTGGACCTTTGCTCACAGAGAGCAGAAGTGTACAAATGCCTCTGAATTTGACTAAGGAATAGAGGGGCGCGAGGGAAGCATTCACAAGTCCAGGAAGCGGGGAGGGGGCGAGGTCGGGGGTGGTTAGAGCCTTAGAAAAAGTTCCGAGTCCTTCGAAGGAGTGTTCGGATTCATCAGAGTCAGTCCTGGAAGTGCTCGGATTCAGTCAGGGCTGGCATAAAAACTCTCCTGTAAAAATCCGAGTTGGGCTGAAAAATACCTTGGATTTTCAGTCAAGAACGAGCATTTACCCTGATAGCCTGAGCCCGATTTTGAGCAAAGTAAACTCGAAAAACAACTGCATCCAGCTGTTGCCACGTGATAGTAAGAGCGTTTCGGTGAAAGCTGTTCCGTCTCGAACCGCTCGCACTATCGCGCATTGTACACCCAACTGTTTAGGTGAGTGGGGCTGAATGCCTTTTTTTTTTTTTAGAATTCTCTAGAAACCTTTTCAGCCTGAAATTCCCCGGCCTTGATTCTACGCCCAACTGTTTAGGCGAGCGCAATTCCGTTTGACGTGTCATTTCGGGTTGGGGTTTGTTGTGCCTCTGTAACGTGCTTTCACTTCGGCGACGTGCTATGTCTTCTAGCTGCGTGATCAATCTGATTCTAATGTGCGTCTTCTTTCCTTCCAGGGTTCATTTCACCACTCTCCTCTCCACCACTCCCAATCCCTTCCTACCACTCCCCACCCACAGAGACATGTGGGAGAAAGCCATGAGTGGCATGATGGCAGAGCTGATTCAGCATGCCCCGGCGTCCAACACCACCACCGCCACTACCACCACCGCTGCAACCAACACCAGCACCACTAGCAGCAGCAATGCTGACATTAGTGGCAGCGGTAGCGGCAGCACTGACAGCAGCAGCAGCGGTGGCAGAGTGGTGTATGTGGCAGAGATGCATGCGGGGAAGGTGGAGCACAAGATGGAGCATGTGACGTGCTTCGTGGCTGGCATGCTGGTGCTGGGCGCTCAAACAGTGGCGGAGGGGAGTGAACACACTGAAGCTTACATGAGGCTGGCTAAAGAGGTGAGAGGGGGAGGGAGTGGGGGAGAGAGGGAGCTCGAGAAAGGGAGGAAAAGAGTGAATGTTGCTTTGAATTTGACTCAAATCCCAAACTTTGGTTCGACTCAAAAACTTGTTCCCTGCCCCACTTGTTGAATGCAACACATGGTTTGCACGACAACCTACCGCCTATTTGTCGACGTTGAGTGAAAATGAGGTGTTTCGTCTGAAGGTAATTTTTTGTGTGCTAGTTGCGCTTTTTCGTGAGCTGCGTTTGTGTGTTTACGGTTCATGAACGATTCATGAGTTGTGGGTGTTTTCGTGAAAGGTTGTGTTCATGAGAGTTCGTTAATGTCTATGTGCAAATGCGAGACTTCGTGTGCGTTTGCATTGTTTCGTTAGTTGTCATGGATGTGCGCTGATTTTATGTTCGTGAATTCTGTGTTCGTGAATTTCCGTGAACGTTGTTCCAATATTCATGAATGTTTGTGAGCATTCATGTTTGTTTCTATTTTTCGTTTTTTTTTTTTTTTTTTCATGAAGTGACGTGAGGGGTCAATTTTGACCCTGGATATTTCTCGCGCTGATCAAGGTCAACCGCGCGTGGGGTCCTGGTCGTGCGTGTGGGCCCTTAGGCCCGCGCGTGTGCCCTCGCACTGTTACAAGCGTGGCAGGGCCCACGATCGCAACAGGACAGGGCGAATGATCGCCCTGCCCACGCGCAGGACAGCGCATGTTTGCACTGTACAGTGCGCACGATCGCTGACGCGATCCCACTGTACAGCACGACCGAAATATCAGTCTTGCTATGATTGCAGTCGGAGGGTGCTCAAGATTTCGGTTGAACAACCGAATCCCGCGTTGACTCGGCATTTTGCTAGAAATGTCGCGCATGTAAAGAGACAATTTCGATACAGGGAAAAACGGTGAAAAAACGTTAAGTAACTGTAAGGCTTCATGAAAAACCGTAATCCCACAAGAGCGTTTATGATTGCGCACGAGAAGTTGCGAACGTTCACGAGGGGAGTCAGCAGGGGAATTTGGCAGGAGTGCAGTTTGAAAACAGTTGTTTCAACAAGGCAAATCAAGCCAAATTCAAGAGCAGTTCGACAACCGTTTTCCTTGGCCGCGTTCTGCAGGCGTATCAGCTCTGATGCGTCTGATGCTCGGCCTAATGCGCACATTGAAAAATTGAGGTTCGGAAAATGCGAAATGGAGATTGAGAAATTGAGGCTCGGACATTTGGAATTGATGTTTGGAAATTTTGACGAAATTGGATTGAGGTCAGGAAATTGGACATTTAATTTCCTGACGAATTTCAGCATTTTGAATGTTTCAGGTTTCTTGGAAGTTGGGATGTCGCTGAATTTCGGAGGTGCCAAACTGATTGGCCAATGAGGTTGCAGCGATTTTTCGAATTTTCATTATGCGCACATGATGCGATTTTTCGAAGTTGCATGGTGCTTCGAATGCGCCCGATTGCTAGGAGAGGAAGCTTCTTGGAACGCGGTCACATGACGAATTTCGAGGGCCAAAAGGCGCTGGCATTCGGGCTTGGTTTGCCCCAGCAGCCATGCGCCTATCGCGAGCCTTGATAACCTGACGGCAAGTTATCAAGGAAGGATCCTGGTACGCGGGGAAATTGTAGCAATGTACATTGATGCGGCCTGATGCGCCTGCAGAACCCTTGAAGTCTAGTTAAACAACTGCTTTGTGCTTTCCTATGTTTGTGTATTAAGCAAAATATTAATGTGTGCTTGTGCTTGATTGTGATCAACCCTTTGTGTATGAAAATTGCTCTATCAACGTATTGACGAAGAGTTAATTCTGCACACGAGCCATTTCGTCGTTCAACGGTTCGCAAGTGAGATTGGGAATGCTCTAGTGCACACCGCTACCTTTACACTTAGGAAACTCCCTCTACAAACACGGACCCTTGGTTAGGGGCTGGCTTTGTCAGGCACCCCAGGAACTTTGGAGATGACCCCGTGGGGACTACCTAGAGTGAATTAAAGGGTATGCATAGGGTTTTTTAGATCCCAATAGTAGTCAACACCACTCCCCCCTGCCTCCCTCCCCACCAGCTGGGGCACAGATGCCAGCAATTCTGTAGCACATCACCCACGGGCCTCAGTGGGGCGGACAAACACTCCCCTCCACTCTCCCCTCACATCCCTCCCCAATTCTTCCCAACCCCACCCAACTCCCACTTCCAGCCCCCACCAGCTGGAGCACACGTGTCAGCTCAACCACGGGGCTCAGTGGGGAGGAATTACAGCCCCCGTACCCAAGGAACACCACTTATTGGTGGTGGTAGACATTGCGTGGCTGCAGATTCGGAGTTGTTAGCAGTTTGTTAAGAAAATGAAACAGGCTTGTAAAAACCTGTGTTTGTAAAAACAGCCCCGATACAACCTCCACCCAACACTTCCCCCCCGCACTACTTCCTTTCCCAACTCTTCCCCCCACTTCCGCAATCTCCCCACCAGCTAAGGCACACGTGCCATCTCTTCTACAGCACGTCACCCACGGGGCTCAGCGGGGAGGACAACACTCCTCACTGAACTGCACCGTGTAATGAGTCGATTTTTTAGTCGACTCAAAAAAAGAGGACAACACTCCTCACTGAACCGCCCCTTCCAACTTCCCTCCCCAACTCCCCGCTCCCGCCCCGTCTACCAGCTGGGCCACACGTGCCATCTCTTTTACAGCACATCACCCACGGGGCTCAGCGGGGAGGACTATGCATTTGGGGAGAAGGTGCGTGTGATTGCTGCCATGTGACTGTATAGTTTTTTCTGTAGCTGTAGAGTGGGGCAAGGGGCCTTCAGCAGAATGTGACTGTGGAGTGTGACAGCAGCAGCATGTGACTGTGGAGTGTGCACTTGCTCGCGCTACCCACACCCTAATCCCGTAGTTTCACTGCATTGTGGATGGATTCTCATTCTCGTGACCTTAAGCATCCACAATACGGTCATGAATTCTCTGCTCGTTACGAGCTGGTTTTAGAGAATTCTAAAAAAACAGCTCGTAAAAAACAGCTCGTAAAAAACGAGCTCGTAGCATATGTCTTGTTTCAAGCATCCAGAATGAGGCCACGAATTCTTGTTAATCCTCTGCCCTTCTGCATGTGCTCCACTGCTCCATCCATCCTTGCGTCACGCACCACCACATGGCATGCGCATGCACATGCGCAGCCACATGTTCAACAATATTCGTGTGACTTTTGAGAATTCTCACAGGGCACCACAGGGCATGAGCACCACCACAGGGCATGAGCACCACCACAGGGCATGAGCACCACCACAGGGCATGAGCACCACCACAGGGCATGAGCATGCACGTGCGCTGCCACATGTTCAACATCTTGAGGCCCCCAAGACGCACCTCCGGTGGCGCACCTGGTTTGAATCCCCATACGCCCCTCCCTTATCCCTCCACATGTGCATCACACACCACCGCAGAGCATGCACATGAGCTTGCAGGGCCGCATGTTCAACAGCCTGAGGCCCGCATTTCCTGTCCTGCATTCATCCCCGTTTGCTTCATGTATCCATACTCGATTCGACACAGGCCATGCGCATGGAGTGGCGCAAATACAACAACTTGAGGCCCGAGGCAGTGGAGGCGTGGATGTACCTGTGGAGGTCCGTAGCTGGTTTGAATCCCCATAGGTTTCCTACCCTCCTCCCCCCTTTTATGTGTGTCACAACAAACCACCACAGGGCATGCCCATGGAGGGGCGCAAGTACAATAACCTGAGGCCCGAGGCAGTGGAGGCATGGATGTACCTGTGAAGGGCCACACCTGCTTTGCACTCACGTCTGTCTTCCATCCCTCCATGCATCTTCCATCCCTCCATGCACCATAAACCACTCAGGCCATGCGCATGGAGGGGCGCAAGTACAACAACTTGAGGCCCGAGGCAGTGGAGGCGTGGATGTACCTGTGGAGGGCCGTAGCTGGTATAATCTCACCTCTGTTCTTCCAACCCTCCACACGTGCATCACACACACCACAGGGCATGCGCATGGAGGGGCGCAAGTACAATAACCTGAGGCCCGAGGCAGTGGAGGCATGGATGTACCTGTGGAGGGCGACGCACGACCCCATGTACAGGCACTGGGGGTGGGAGGTCTTCCAGGCCTTCCAAAAGCACTGCCGTGTGGAAAACGGCTTCGTGGGGCTGCTGGATGTGAGTATAGGGTTTAGGGTTTAGGGTTTAGGTGGATCCTGAGTCACTCTACAGGTACCACATATGGAGGGCCACTTATAACCTCATGTACAGGCACTGGGGGTGGGAGGCTTTCCAAGCCAAGCCTTCCAGAAGCACTGCCGCGTGGAAAATGGACATGTGGGGCTGCTGGATGTGAGTAAAACGAATTGACAGTGGGTGCCTTAATGTGGTCTTTCTCTACTGGGAGTGGGAGTGGGAATGGGCTGGCTTTAGGCCTTCCAGAACCACTGCTGGGATGCCGGCCTGTGGGTCTCTGCAATTGCTACTAAGGCCTTGATTTTTTACTTTGGTTCTCTCCCCATCATTATTTTTCTCTCCGTGCTCCAGGCCTCTCAGAACCCTCCACAGAAGGACGACTTGCAGCAGAGTTTCTTTCTTGCCGAGACGCTCAAGTATCTTTACCTCCTCTTCTCGCCCGATGATGTGCTGCCTCTCAACCAATGGGTGTTCAATACCAAGGCACACCCTCTTAAGATCATAGCAAGAAACGCTGATTTCCCCCCTCAAGTGAGGATTGAGTCTCAAACGAAGCATGACGCGCTTCCGGACGATGATTAGCATGGGTTTTGGAAAGGCGGGCATTAGTAGATAGGAAGGTCTGGTGATAACAAAAACTCTGTTTTTCACAATCAAACTCCAATAGCTGACCAGAAAGTGCTTCTCTCTTTACATTATTGTCATAAGCATTCCAACATCATCTTGAGTGTTATTGTTACAAGTGCAATTGAGTGAACGAACGAGAATTGCACTATCGAAGCAAGAGTACAATGAGCGAAGGCATGAGCGAAGAATATATAGCGAAACTACAGTGGTAACGGTAATGGTCGCGCGACGAGCCCGGGACTGAGGTTGGGAACGTGTCGAAGCGTAGGCCCGGAGCGCGGGTTACCAGCCGAGCCGTGAGGTCGGGATGCGATGTGCGAAAATGGCGGGATGATGAATGATGCGATGGTCGCGAGTGGTAACGGTGCTGACTGAGGTGCTACAGTGATGTACGCGTTGAGCAGAGATGCGAAGTAAGGAAAAGGGAATTTCCTTACACTACCCCCCCCTCCTAAAAGGTCCTCCTTACGAAAGCGCGTGGACGTCCTTGAAGTTTCGGCTGCGTAGATAGTCGGTGACGACAGGGTGGTTTTCAATTCTGTCCAGGGGAACCCAGTTGTCCTCGGTGGGTGTACGATCTTTCCAGCGAATCAGAAACTCAACTTTTCGGGCCCCTCGAGGGTCACGAACTCTGTGGCTCAAGATTTTGTCGGGGATGATGACTGGTTCGGTTGGTGGTCGTGACATGCTGGATGGTCGATGTCGTGGGAGTTGGCTGATGGATGGTACGTAAGGGCGAAGCAGGCTGACGTGGAACGAGGGGCTGACGTACCAGTCAGCAGGAAGGAGGAGGTGCGCGGTGACATGTGTGATCATGTGACTGATTCGAAATGGCCCACAGTATCGAGGGCGGAGTTTGGGAGTGATGGGCAGGCGGAGGTTCTGAGTGTCGAGTAAAACGAGGTCGTCGGGCTGATAAGTGACGGGTCTGCGGTGGCGATCGGCGTTGCGTTTAGCGATGATATTTGATTTTTTAATTGCTTCTACTGCCCTGGTCCGTGCTGCTTGCAAAATCTCGGCGAACTGTTGTGCGCGTGGAACAAGATTGTCGGGGTTTGGTGTCATGGGTACTGTTGGGTTCTGTCCGTAATTCAAGTAGAATGGCGACTGTTGGGTCGTGGCAGATGGCGCGTTGTTATATGCGAACTCGATGAGAGGCAGCTGCTACTCCCACGTGTTTGGATCGTCACACGTGGCTCGAATGAGTTGCTCCATAGTCTAGTTTGTCCGTTCTGTCTGTCCGTCGGTTTCGGGGTGATACGATGAACTGAATTGAAGTCGCGTGCCGAACTGCTGCCACAGGTTCCGCAAGAAATTACTGGTAAACTTCGTGTCCCTGTCGCTGATGATTGACGCTGGTATCCCGTGCAGTCGAACGACAGTGGCGATGAAGAGTCGGGCTGTTTCCTCGGCTGTGATTGATTTCCTGCATGCTGCGAAATGTGCCATTTTCGTTAGTCGATCGACGACGACCAAGATCGCGTCATTCCCACTCGCCCCGGCCGGTAACCCCGTGACGAAGTCCATCGTCACCTGCTGCGAAGCACGCTCTGGAGGTGGGATTGGTTGTAATTGTCCTGCCGGCCGCTTCCTGGTTGACTTCATGAGTTGGCAAGTGGGACACGATGCCACGTGTCGTTGCACGTCGGTCAACATTTCCGGCCAGTAATAGTACCGTTGCAGCTGCTGCCGTGTTTTTTCTACTCCGAAATGTCCCGAGGTAACTCCGTCGTGTGCCTCCTGTAACAGTAGTTCCCGTAGTAGCGTGTACCCTGGTACCCAGATGCGGTCCGATCCAGCTTTTACGTAATAGGCTCCCTTGGCTGCTGCGAATTGCTGTGAATTTCCTCCTGTGAAGAATGGGTCTGTTTGATATCCGTGGGTAAATAGTCCTGTCAGTAACGGGCTGGTCTGGGCGAGTAGTATCGCATGTATTTGGGCAGTGGGGCGGGTCAGTGCGTCGGCGATATTCGAGGCTCCTTTTTTATATGTGACCGTATAGTGGAAATTCGATTCGAGGAAGTCGAGCCACCGAATCTGTCGTGGGTTGAGGTGGGGCTGTGCGCGAAGGTACTGTAGGGATAAATGGTCTGTCCGTACTGTCACGTCTGCGCCGGTCAAGTAGCAACGCCACACTTTGAATGCATGCACGATCGCGAGCATTTCGCGGTCGTGTATCGGGTAATTTCGCTCAGGTGGATGTAGCTTGCGTGATTCGTAGGCGATGGGTTGGAGGCCGTTGCCGAAGTCCTGTAACAGTACGGCTCCGATGGCGATGTCACTCGCGTCTGTAACAACTTCGAAGGGGCCGTGTGGGTCAACGATGCGTAGGACGGGTGGTGAAAAGAGAACATTTTTCAGGGCAGAGAAGGCAGCATGCTCTTTCTCCCCCCACGTAAAAGGGACCCCCTTACGCAGTAAATCAGTGAGCGGGGCTGTTAAGCGTGCCATGTCGGGGACGAACCGACGAACGTAATTAACAAACCCTAAAAAACTCTGTAGTTCCGTGATGTTTGTCGGGGGATGCCACGCTTTTACGGTATCCAGCTTCTTAGGGTCTATCTCAACCCCAGCCTCCGAAATGACGTGACCTAAAAACTCAAGCCTGCCCCGAAAAAACTCGCACTTGGAGCCCTTGGTGAGTAACCGATGTGCCTCTAAAATTTTAAAAACTGCTTCGAGATCTACTAAGTGCTGCTGCTGGTCCCGACTGTAAACGAGGATGTCGTCGAGGTAAACTATGACGCATTTATCTAAAAGTGGCCTAAACGCCTCGTTCATGGTCATCTGAAATGTTGCAGGCGCGTTGGTCAGCCCGAAAGGCATCACCGTGTACTCGAATGACCCGTACCTAGTCCTAAATGCTGTCTTGGCGCAGTCCGATGGTTCGACCCGAATTTGATGGTGACCTCCCCGTAAGTCTATTTTCGAAAATACTCGTGCGGTTCGCAGCTGGTCGATCAGTTCGTCGGCGCGGGGGATGGGGTATCGTGATTTTACTGTTACCCTGTTAAGCGCTCGGTAGTCGATGCACATGCGAAACCCCTCGTCTTTTTTCGGTGTGAACAGTATCGGTGCGGCGAACGGTGACGAGCTCGGTCGGATAAACTGCTTCTCTAACAGGTAATCTAACTGCTTCCTTAGCTCGTCGAGCTCGGGCTGTGTCAGTCGAAATTGGCGCTGTACAGTTGGTTGTGCCCCCGGTTCTAACTTGATCCTATGGTCATGCGCCCGCTGAGGTGGCAGCCCTTGCGGTAAGTCATCCGGAAAGATACCCGGTACCCGTTTCAGTAGTGCCTGTAGTTCGGGTGGTACGGCTGCCAACAATTTCTGCAAATCACTCGGCCGGTCCTCTTTTTCCACTAATGCGATATCCACTGCGTACACGTCAGTGTCAAGATACTAGTCACTCTGATAGCATGTCAAGATACTAGCAATGGGTAGGCTTAGGAGCCATGGTTGAGTTCGAGTAAGTTTAGGAGAGTCGAGAAATTGGAAGAGAAGAAGTGGTTTCACTATAGAGCGAGCAGTACATATAGGCAAAATGAAAGGTGCACCACCAAAACAGAACATTGTATAACTACAATAATCTACACTACAGGCAGTTACAAAACAATATATAAAACTATATATTATTCTGACATTCAGCTCCAGCAGCGACAACCCGTTTCATCGTGATGGCGTTGACCTGGACCGTCGAAGACTCGGGTGGCTGCCAGCGAAGTAGGACGACCCAGTTACCACTACTTCGCACTGTGCAGCTACCCGTCGTCCAGTCAATTCGTGGGTTATACCGTCGCAGCCAATCACGTCCCAATAAAATGTCGTGCCCATCCAGTGTCGTTGCGAGCATTTCCTGTGTAAACCCGAAGTTCCCTCCGCAGCGGACCTTTACTTACTCCACCTTTTCCCGTATAGCTAGTGGCGTGCCGTCGACTAAGCGTGCATCTATCTCACGTAAGCATCGGTTAAGTGTTAACTGTAATTTCCGTGCGGTTGCGGTATTAACTAAGCTGTGACTTGCTCCTCCGTCAATAAAAATCTTCACTGCTGCTCCCTGTATTTTCCCGTAGATTAGTACTGGGCAATCCGTCGCTGTACCCTCCTTATTCATCCGAGCCCGATCGATGGCATGAATCGGTACTGTGACTCGGTGAGGGTCGGTGTGGTTGGGCGAGCAGGCAGTCTCGTCAGTAGTTGGCCCAGCTTCTATTGACTGCTGGCGTTTCCCTGCCTCTGAGACTCTCTCCCCTGCTCTGCTCCTCGGCGCCTCAGCTCCTCTGGGCATTCGCTCTTGCGATGGCCCGGCCTGTTGCAAGCAAAGCAGCGCCCCTTAAACGGTGCGGCAGCTGCATTCGTTGCGACGGCGTGTACACTGGCGTGCTCGGTCGGTCCCCGAGGACGATGTCCGTAATAGGACCCCGGTCTCGGTCGGCGTAGAATGTCGATCTTCTCGGCGAGCGCGAGAATCTCGTTGAAGTTAGAGAGTCCGCGCAGCATTATCTCGTGCGAGATGTCCGGCTTCAGCCCTCCGATGTAACGGTCCACCCGCTCCGCTTCGTGCATGTAGCCGACCTGCTCGCAAAGTGCGAGAAAACCGCTGGTATAGTCTTGAACTGACCCGAGCTGGCGCCAAGTGCTCAGTTTCTGACGCGCCGAAATTGAAGCCGCGATCGGCTCAAAACGCGCCCGAAGTCCTGCGCACCACGCATCCCACGTGCTGTATTGGGCGGTCTCGCAGAACGAACTCCAGGTGACAGCTGGACTCGAGGGCCCTTCCTCGTGCGACGGTGGCTCGTAGGCGCGTGGCGACGTCACGATGACTCGCCACCAGTCCATGGCGGGGCCCCTTGGCAGTGAAACCGCATACCGGATCTTTGCGGCGTCCGACTCGACGTAATTGGCGTCGAAGAAAACGTTCATCGTGAAGACCCACGATTGAACTGTCGGACCGCCGCGTTGACTTGGGTCGAAGCAGGGCGGGCGTTGCGGCTTGAGCGGCATTGGTGCCATGTTGGGTTGTTCGCCACTTGTCGCCGCAAATTCCACGTGCCGACGGACTTCTCGAGGCTCCCGTGGGCTTGGTGCGATCCTGTTTCCTCCCATGCCAGGCATCGGCTGGGCGGCGCCCTCACTGGCTGCGCCTGAGCGTTGTCCCGTGCTGTCGTGTTGTGTTGGTGTGCCGGACGAGATGATGATCGGCTCATCCGAACGTGCAGATGCGTTTGTTGGTGCGTGGGATGTCGTCGGTATGTTCATCGTGGATTGTTGACGGGCGGAGTCACGTTCCGCCGTGAGGGTCGCGATTTCAAGCGCCGAATCCTCCAGTTGACGCACGAGACGATCAAGTTGCTCCTGCGTCAATGTGGCGAGCGTGAAGTCGGCCATGGCGGGGGTGTCGGGCAAGCTCAGCGAGAGCCTCGGTCGTGGCCGTGCGTGCTTGCGAGAGAGCACTACGAGCGGCGGTGCTGTATCGCTGAGAGACGTCTACCCCCCCCAAAAATTGAGATAGTGGGGAAGCGAAGGTGTGGATGCGGTCCGAGATGGGATCGTAGGCTCTGAATACCAAGTGTTACGAGTGCAATTGAGTGAACGAACGAGAATTGCACTATCGAAGCAAGAGTACAATGAGCGAAGGCATGAGCGAAGAATATATAGCGAAACTACAGTGGTAACGGTAATGGTCGCGCGACGAGCCTGGGACTGAGGTTGGGAACGTGTCGAAGCGTAGGCCCGGAGCGCGGGTTACCAGCCGAGCCGTGAGGTCGGGATGCGATGTGCGAAAATGGCGGGATGATGAATGATGCGATGGTCGCGAGTGGTAACGGTGCTGACTGAGGTGCTACAGTGATGTACGCGTTGAGCAGAGATGCGAAGTAAGGAAAAGGGAATTTCCTTACAGTTATGAATGAACTTGCAGAGTGTGCAGTAAAACGAATATTGAGAATGATTTAGTACTGAAGTACTGAATTCCGATACAATGGAAGTGACGAGGCCTAAATAGGGGAAGTCCTAGCTAGGCGGGGAGGTTGGGCGAGGATGGCTTGGTGATGGTTGCGTTTGGTGCGGAGGCGACTCGGGAGTGGTTCGGTGCGACAAAATAGGAAGGACAGGTTCGTCGCGTGACCCTCGGGATGGCCTCGCTAACGAGTGCCTCATTAAGGATTCTGTAAATCCTTACATTGAGTGAAGCAAAAACGGGTTTAACTCCATCGTTCCTGCTATATTCGCATGCCCAAGGGTTACCACTAGAGGTAGCCAGAGTCGTGAATGTTTTCGCTATCGAATACCGTGAGACGGACGTTCAATTCACACCCGACTTGAAGTTGAAGGCTGGGACGGACTCGTCCGAGGCTGGAACTCACGTTTTGGCATACTTTTCAGACCACAGGCTCGGAGCATTGCTTCTGTCGTTTTGCGCGGCTGTGGCGCCGATTTGCCACAAACCTACGCGCTGATGGCTTCACACCCCAACCGAACCTAGTGAATGGCACGGTAGAGGGCCATCAGATTGCGAGGCGCGGCGGCTAGCGGTGCGAGGAGGGCCGCCGATACCCAACGAGGTTGAGGTGGGAGTAGGGGACGGAGAGCAGGAAGGGAGGGGGTTTGGTTTCAAAGGCGGTTCGATCTTACGGCATTTCCTTTGTTCACCCATCCCCACCCCATGTCAGCTCGCAGAAAATCTCTATTTCGTTGGTTGCTGTCTGCTCGTCCCTCTGTTTTTCTTGCAATTGGCCCTCATTCGCTCGATTTCGATCAACCCACCCACGATTTATTTCTCCTCCATTCGCGGTTGTCCCTGCGCTCGCCCGCTTAGGTACCCTTAGAAGTCTTACCGCCCCATCTTAGTAGCCCTTCGACGCCTTGGTCTCGTTCCTAGCCTCGCCCCATCTAGTAGCCCGTCGTCCTTTTCTCTGCCCACGCGTACAGTTCTCCAACATGCGTCACCCGTCGCACGGCGACCGTTCGTCGCATGGCGACCGTTTCTGGAGGCGCTCGTGCGACTTCAGCGGGCTAAGGGAGCCGCTGATGATGCCGACCTGCATGCCGCAATCGCCGCCGCATCCTGCGCAGCTGCACAAGTGGGCGGACCGCGCCGTGTACGCGTTCTGCGTGGCGCTGCTTCTCGGCTCGCTCCTCTTGGTCCACCACACCACCCGTCGTGAAGCGGACTCGAGAAGCACCAACTCAATGCAAGCCAACTCGTCCGTTCTTATTAGGAACAGCAGCGATACTAGCGGCGCGGGACGATTACAGCGGCGCGTGGCAGCATCTCTCTTCTACGATAACGCGAATTGCTCTAACAATAGCACACGCGTAACGATATCGGGACGCAGGTATTTAGAACAAGATGTTGACGCTGATGCTTCGCCGTTTCCCGCGTGGCAACCCATCACGTGGGCTCCGGAGAAAGACAAGTACCTTTTGGCCACGTGTACACACGGCCACGTGGCGGACCGCGTCGTGTGCTTGCAGCGGTATGTGCTTGTAGCAGCGATGCTGAATCGCACTCTCGTCATTCCCGAGGACGACGTGTGCGGTGATGCGCGTCATTCCGCGAATCACGGAGACGCTACCGACAGCATGATTAGTGGAATTAGTAGTATAGATAGTGATACTAGGACTAATAGGCGACGTCACCGTGACGTCGGTCCGCCGTCCGTTAGTTTCTCGCGGGTGTTGGATCTCGCAAATTTGGAACAGTGCTTTTCCGGCGACAGCAGCGGCATTGGCAGCGGCAGCAGCAGCAGCGGCGGTCAGAACGCGAGTCCTGGTTCTAACAGCGCCGTGGAAGACGGAAGAGCGAAATCTGCAAGGCGGCTGAGTAACGTGTCACTGTCTGAAACCAGCGAAAACAGCGGCGGAGACAGCGGCGGGAACAACGGGAACGACGAGAGGGCGATCATGCCTCGCGTAATGACATTGTCTCGCTTCTTGCGGCTTCGACGAATGAAAACCGTCCACGTGGATAGTCTCGTGTGCGGCCATTCCGCTGGCAGCTGCTCTGTCCCCTCTCACTGCACGTCCTCTCACCGCGAACTTCGCGAAAGTAAATTGCACGAAGCCGATGTAACCCGAGTAACCCTCCCTCGTCGCACGGATCGCATGCCACCCTTCGTTTCAAGCATCTCCGACTTCCCTAGCGCAATAATCACCGACGCGCCTCGATCGTACCGCGCGTCGGTACTCTCTCTCGGGGATCTCAGCCACTTAAACGCGTCGGATCTTCCTATCGGAGCAGACGTCCCATATCGCGTATTTCGCCAGTTGCTTCTATCGAACCTTGAGAATATCGGGTCTACGACAAGCGTGAGAGCTGGTTGCGAGTTTCCGTTGCAGCCGTCTCGCGAAGTTGTGACTCTAGTGGATTGGTACCGGCGGGAGTATATCGGAGGTGACTATGCCGCGTTGCGCCTGGAACGGCGAGCGTGCTTCAGCGAACGGAGTCGAAGCAGCGCGGAAGATTCGGAAGCAGCGTTAGCAAGGAGTGACGAGGTGCAAGCAACGAGTGGCGTCGATATGGGGGTGAATGGGAAAGGATATCTTTTCGAATCGGTGGTGGACACGTGGAGGAAGCAGGTTGGGCAGAAGGACGGGCAGAGAAACGAAACCGAGCAGGGATATTTGCCCCTTGCTGCAGTTGCCTCGTTTGTGGGGGACTCGTTAGAGTCTCAAGGCATCCGGGTGCTGTTTCTCAGCAGAAATGGAGAAGAAAGTTGTGCCGTGGATGGAGCCCTAACTGCCCTGCTGTCTGCACGCGGCATTACAGTCATGCGTCTACAGTCTGTTATCAAGTCCTTCAATAAGAAGCCCATTGGTGCTAGTGATGGTGATTGCAAGGATGGTGATTGTGGGAGGGACAGCAACACGAGAAGCGAGAACAGCAGCAGCTGGAGCAACGACAAGATTGGCAGGAGGGATGATGGTGATGATGAGGGAGAGGTAGGTAAAGAGGGCGATGATGGCAGGGACGGATTGAGAGAGGCAGAAACAGAGGGAGATGGAGAAGTAGCAGCAGCATCAGTGTCAGCTGACGTGGCAGCATCAGCAGAGCTTCTACTAGCTGCCAGTGCCCGCACTCTGCTTCTCTCTCCTGTCCACCTCTCTCCATTCTTTTCTCCTTCTACCTCCTCCTCCTCCTCCTCCTCCTCCTCCTCCTCCTCCTCCTCCTCCTCCTCCTCCTCCTCCTCCTCCTCTCCCTCTTCCTCTCCCTCCCACCCTCCCCTCTCCCTCTCCCTCTCAGCCATTCACATTCTAAACCTGCGGCGGGCTATGGGCATGGACTCTTGCTCTGACGCGCTGCTATGAGATGCTGCTGCGGAGCAAAACTGCGCTTTTTCTGACCCAAGTTTAAAGCCCACAGAGGGCTAGAGCCAAAGCTTGGCTCGAGCTGCCGACCCCAAGCTGTGACGAGCTGCTCTGGAATGCTGCTGACCTTGGTGAAGCAACAGAGCGCCCAACTCTGCCTGACTGTGATGTGAGCCTGCCGGTGACATGCTGCTGTATTGTGTTGCTGTGACATGCTGCTGTATAGTGTTGCTGTGACATGCTGCTGTATTGTGTTGCTGTGACATGCTGCTGTATTGTGTTGCTGTGACATGCTGCTGTATTGTGCTGCTGTGACTTGCTGCTGCGGGTGGAACGCAGGCTGCAAGGCAGATGGTCGGAACAATCACTGCAATTGACTCTGCTGCTATTAGCTCATTCACTCTGACAGAAGCTACCACCTAGTTCTTCTAGGGTGAATTCTCTGCATCTGGCAGTGGCATTACACAATTTTCCTAGACATGAAAGAAGTAATTGTAGGTAACATGGCAGAATCTTCTTAGGGCTTTATCTACATAATCCGGTAATTTCCTATGAGTTTCAATTTTGGCATAATCTCGATTTTGTTCAACTTCTTACGAGTATTGTGGACCTCTCGCTTCCAGCCTGGACACCAAAGCCGATCAGGTTCAGGTGTTGAACCAGATTCACATGCAGCATAAACCTGATCAGCATGCGTCTCGTGATTTGCAAGTGGGCTCGGATACACCTGAGAATATATCCAATCACGAAGGAGCAACGTGACACCACCGCGGCTGAACAAGAGCAGGTCGACCCAGAGGGCCATCTCGCTGAAACCTAGTTCCAGCGCGCCGCAGGGAACAAACACAACCGCGACTCGGTGACTCTCCCCTCCCTCTCATTTTCCTCGAATACTGTAAATACGGTATGTTCGCTTATCCAACACAATCAACAAGTACAGAAACTTACCAAGTCGGCAAGAAGTAGAACAGATTCTCAACTTGACTGTACGTTATTCCTAAATTCGTATTGTAATTCTACACGACGCAGCGCACAGGTTGTTCCCAGCTTTCCAGAATGGCTAGAGCCGCGCTTCTCGCGCTGTCCCTGGCGCTGCTGCTCGCAGTCGCCCGCGCTGGCAGCCCCATCACGAGCGGCACTGCGAATGAGAAGCCCGACCAGAGCAGCAAGAAGGACGACGGGCTCATGACCGAAATCCCCGCGGATATCGCAAAGCAGGCCGCGACGGGCAATGCAGCTGGAGTCACCTACGTGGACACAGCACAGGATTCGTTCTTTATGGCTGATGTGAAGAAGGCCGGGTGGAACGCGCAGAAATGCCCGCCTGGATTGAACAAGGAGCTAGCAGGAGCGTGCACGCCGAAAAATTGTTCAAAGGGAGGCATCCCCGCTAAGTGGAAAACCGCTTATCTGCAAAAGAACAAGCTGGGTTACGAGCTGTACGTGCCCGGTAACCCGCTGACGGTGCTCAAGGCTAACCCCGCGTCGTGCTGCAACACCTGCGCCGCGACTCCGCTGTGCACGTACTGGCAGTACATCCCCGATATAACCATCGACGGGAAGAAGGGCAAGGGTGCGTGCTATTTGATCCACGACCAGATTGATTTCACCTGCGGAGAGATGACCGCGCAGTATTCGACGGAAACGAAGCCGGTGAACCTGCAGGTGCGCATCGGTGGAGAGTGTAACCCTAGCGCGAAGATTCTCAACGACCCGCACTTGGTCGGCGCGCACGGCACGCATTTCGACTTCAACGGCCGGCCCGACAAGGCGTTCTGCCTGCTGACGGACCGCGATCTTCATGTGAACATGCTGCTGAGGGGTTATTATGATGAGCGCACCGATAATGCCGCGCTTGTCGTTGACGGCAAGGCGGTGCACACGTGGATTAAGGAGCTCGGGATGGTCTGGACCGCCGGGAGCGCGGATCACAAGGTTCGGCTCGCGGCGCGCAGCGGTAAGCAACAGGAGCGCGGCGACGGGTTTACGAAGACCATCGAGATTGACGGGGAGGAGATCCCTCGGATGAAGGTTGGCGACACGGTGACGAGCGACGGTGGCCTGACGATTCAATTCCGCGGGCTGGAGAAAGAAGGACCATTCGATGTGGACTACTATATGCTGACGATCGACGGTCTGATTTCTCTGGATCTGCGCTTGCGCGTCGCGCACCCGAAGCTGCAGACCCCCAGCGACGCTGAGGCGCATATCAACGTCGGGATTGCCGAGCTGGAGCACACAGAGGATATTCACGGTGTGTTGGGGCAGACGTACCGCGCGGATCACTCGCAGCGCGCTGAGGATTTTCAGCGTTTGATCGCGAGCCTGCACCGTCCGATTTCGGCTGACGGCGCCGAGGGGAAGGGGTTCTTGGATGGTACACCCAGGTCGTATGAGGCGAGTGATGTGCTTGCTGTAGACTGCGCTTATACCGCGTACGGCCGCGCCAGGAAGGTCATGCCCGTGCAGCAGTTCCCGTAAGGGTTGACTCAGTGGGAGCCTTCACGCTTGTATTATACAATGGTTCCGTCAGATACTAGGTTGATAGATAAGTGGGCTGATTTGTTTATTCTTTATACAATTGGAATGAAAAAATAAAGCCTAATATCCAGTGTCCAGAGATGCAGCAATTGACATCTGGAAACGAAACGGCCCATCCCAACCGTCTAACAGAGAAGCATCTCGCTGGATCATGCCAGCCCTAGGCCATAATCATCTACCACCAGTGGTAATGCCATCCAGGGCCAGCACCGGATGCAGCACCACAGCAACTTCATTGGATAGCCTTACTAACGAGTGTACCGGCTAACGCCATCCAGGGCCAGCACCGGATGCAGCACCACAGCAACTTCATTGGATAGCCTTACTAACGAGTGTACCAGCCAACACGTCACATGGGGTTGGGAGAGATTCTGCTGATGGGGATGATGGCGACGGCAATGCCATCTAATGCCAGCACCGGGCAAAAGGTACGGCCGCCAGCCACTGACCCACCACTGCCCCTGATTATTGAGACGTCTCAAAACTCTTTCGGTGCGGCCACTGACCCACCACTGCCCCCGATGCTACGCTACAGTGATTGCAAACCAGTACGCAACAAGTCGTCTCTACACTCCATGGGCTTTGGAGGGTCTTTGTTGAGGGGAGGGATGATGGCGACGGCAATGCCATCCAGCGCCAGCACGGGGCGAGGTGAGGCCGCTTCCCCCGGCGTTCCTGCATCCGCTGCTGCTGCTGCTGGCGTGACACGCGGCGTCTTGAATGCCTTGGATGCGAAAGTGACTCTGAGGAGGTGTGGGATGGGGATGGGGATGGGGTAAGGGGAAGGTATGGGGAAAGACATGGGAAGATGCTTTGAACGCTTAGAATGCAAACGTGACCCTTGTGGAGGTGTGGAGGAGGGGAACGGGAGATGGGAAAAGGCATGGGGGAGGGCATAAAGGAAGGGGTACACCACCACTGAGACGGCATTCACTGTGGCACTCACCTGCTCGCTCATGTGCACGGCCACGCACGCACACAAACAGACCCTCACTCACAGCCACACACGCGCATGCCCTGTCTCTCACACACAGACACACCTGAATCCGTTTCTGTTTGCCCCCACAGAATTGGTTTCCACAGTGGCTGTCACCTGCTCACCCACATGCACGGGACGGGACTGAACAGATGCACACACATACACACACCCCCACTCCCCCACATGCACACATTCACTTCCCCAGTTACCTGAATCTGTGTCAATGCTCCCCCACTGATATGGCTTCTACTGAGGCTGTAATCTGCTCGCCCACATCCACGGGGCAGCACAAACTCAGCTTTCCTTCCCTTTCACACACACAGACAGACCCCACCCACCTGAATCTGTGTCGGTGTGCCACCACTGATATTGCTTCCACTGTTGCAGTCACCTGCTCGCCCACGTGCACGGGCGCCAGGAAGCGCAGCGTCTGAGAAACGTAGATGGCGCCTGGCTGAATGGCATGGGGATGAGGGACAGGGGGGTCGGAGGGGGGTTGGAGAAGGGTGGGGTTGCTGTGTTGCTGTAAGCTGCTAACCTGCTCGCCCACGTGCACGGGCGCCAGGAAGCGCTGCGTCTGCGACACGTAGATGGCACCTGGCTGCCGGGTGTAAAAAGGGAGGAGTGGGGAGAACGGAAGGGCGGAGCGTTGGAGGGGGGTTGGGGGCGCATGACATGCTGTGTGGCTTTGAGCAAATCAACAACAACAATATTTACAGTTGAATCAGTCGCAGCCACGTAAAGACATGGCTCCTATCTGGGGCTCCATTGGGGTTGGGGGCGCATGACATGCTGTGTGGTTGTGAGCTGTGACGTGAGCTCGCCTGTTCGCCTGCTCGCCTGGAGGGGCAGGTGGAGCGTTGGAGGGCGGTTAGTTGGGCTGTGCTCCCAACGGCTTGCTCTCATGCCCGCCCACATGCACGGGGCTCTGAAATCGCCAAGTCAGAGCCCACGTGCACGTAAGTTTGCGGTCAGAGCCCACGTGCACGTAAGTTTGCGGTTAGTTGGGCTGTGACACATAGATGGCACCTAGTGGCTAGGCGAGAACGGGGAAAAGGGAGTGGGAATCAGGCGGTTGGGGTGCTGGTGGTGGTTTGGAAAGGTGGGGTGGATTGCACGACATGTCTCTCCGGATCCCCGGCCTGAAACACGATTATTAACCTGTGATAAGCGCGAGAAGTGCGAAAACAGTGATGATATTACTGGTGAGTTTGATACGCACACTATATAAGGGCAACGAGCGTACATGGTGCATGGCGATGAGCGTACATGGTGCATGGCGATGAGCGTACATGGTGCATGGCGATGAGCGTACATGGTGCATGGCGATGAGCGTACATGGTGCATGGCGATGAGCATACATGCTGCATGGCGATGAGCGTACATGGTGCACGGCGATGAGCGTACATGGTGCATGGCGATGAGCGTACATGGTGCATGGCGATGAGCATACATGCTGCATGGCGATGAGCGTACATGGTGCATGGCGATGAGCGTACATGGTGCGTGGCGATGAGCATACATGGTGCATGGCGATGAGCATACATGGTGCATGGCGATGAGCGTACATGGTGCATGGCGATGAGCGTACATGGTGCATGGCGATGAGCATACATGGTGCATGGCGATAAGCGTACATGGTGCATGGCGATGATCGTACATGGTGCATGGCGATGAGCGTACATGGTGCATGGCGATGAGAGTGGAAAACAGGCTCATTGCCAGAATCCCGTGCACACACACTCCGCAAATCCCGCCATTCCAACCAAGCTATCAGAGAGTGATGCGAGCAACTGGGACGCCTCAAAGAGTGTCACGTGCAACCAATGAACGTACATGGTGTTTCGCGATGAGAGCGGGAAACAGGCTGGCCGCCAGGATCCCATGCACCACGCACTCCGCGAATCCCGCCGCCTCCGCCGCGCGCGCGTCGAGGTGGATGGGGTTCAGGTCGCCCGTCATGTGCGCGAACGCTGCCACCTCAGCAGCCGTGAACGCGTGCGCCGTCGTCCACTGCTCGCCCGTGAAAACCGGCGGCGGCGCGTGCGCGCGTGTGTTTATCCGCCTCGCGCCCGTCGCATGACCTCCGTAAATTCCGCCGCAAATTCCCTCGGAGATGCCGCTGCTACTCGCGCTCCTAGTACAACTGATGCCGCTCCTGCTTAGCCCTTCGAAGCGCGTCAAACGACTCTCACCACCTCGACTTTCTTGGGAAGGGGGCTCTGAAAGGATGCTCACATCCACCCCTGTATACGAATCTCCGTTATAGGGAGCTCCTGTACATCCTGCACAAGAAATTCCTGTATAAGGTCCCAAAGCTGGTTCTAATTGGCCAAGCGAGTGGGGGGAAAACTTCCTTGTGAAGAGCCGAAGAGCGGGAGAACCGTGGGAACGAGCCGTTTGGGCTAGCCGCGACGCCATTGGCGCGTTTCTCACGATCGTCCACAAGGCCGCTGGTTACAGGCAGCGTGGAAAACGGCTAGTTACCGTCTCATGCTAGACACGTGAAACAGCCAGGAATACGAAGCAGTAAGACAGGGGAGCAATAACGACGACTGCTCCGCTTTGGCGGAACAACGCACCAATTCCGCCAGGCACGACGACAGAGGTTCTGCACAGAAAATGTCTCTTGCATCGGAACTTTTTCAGCCTAGAATCTGCCGCGACGCGCCCCATCTGCTAGAACAATTGGCGTCGGCTGTGGGTGTGGGAGGACGCCGCACAGTACCGCACGGCAACGCACCAGAGTAAAACACTGTACTGATAAACAGTGAATAATAATTTCGAACGCTCCTATCCAGCACTACCATTTTGACACCTCACTATCTTGTCCAACTCTAGAACCACAGAACGTGGCAAAATAAGATAACCAGATTATGAGCCATATATAAATCAGATCCCAGCAAAAAGCGCAAAAATGTCACCGCTGACGTAGTCATTGTCAACAACGCTCACAAGGTAATAGGTGTCGTGGATCTGCACAAGCCAAGACACAAAAGGAAACATTGATAAGGGGACATTGACGAAAATAAAGAGTTTCCTTGAAGCAATAACCACAAAAACACGCATCACCTCATCTCACTTCCTATTGCCTAATGTAGCCTCATACCACATGTTATCACATCCTGTCACCCAAGTCTCCTCATACCACCCCCAAACACAAACTCCAGCGGCACTCCCACAAACCCTCACGTTGTGCCTCTCACTTCAACGCTGCACCCCTTCTCAACTACTTCAACCGTCCCTCACCTCTTGTACACATCCCTCCCCCTCTCACCCCGTGCACATGTCTCTCACTCACCTCCTGCAGCAGCTTCTTAGCCACCGGCGTGCCCTCATCCCTGTCCTTGTAAAGCCCCGCTATTGACCAAAACCCCAATCCTTCTCACATCCTTCAACCATCCCTCACCCTTTGAAGCCATCCCTCACCTCTAGACACCATTCCTCACACCCATCATCCCTCATCCCATGCACCCTTCCCGCCCTCGCCTCCTGCAGCAGCTTCTTAGCCAAGGGTGTGCCCTCATCCTACTTGTCCCCACCTTAGACCACACCCAACCCCCTCTCAACTCCTTCAACAGCCACTCACCTCCTGCAGCAGCTTTTTAGCCAAGGGTGTGCCCTCATCCTCCTCCTTGTAAAGCCCCACCCAGTCATCCACCCACGCACCAAACGCCTCCTCCTTCCACGCCAGAAACGACATGAAATCCGCCACCGTCGGCTGCACCACCTCCCTCCCCGGAAACACCCCCCACGTGACCGCGTTCGCAGAGAAGGGCGTGGTGGAGGCGGGAGTGCCAGGGCCGGTGGCGAGCACGTGGCCTTGCGAGTTGACCGCCATGAGGGAGATGGAGGGCGTGGCCTTGGCCTTTTCCAGGAGCGTGGTGACCTTGTCGTGCGGGGCAAAGCACTCCACGTATGCCTTCTGGTAGATGTACCCCCCGGGGCCTCCCCACCCTGGAGGGAAACAAGGGGTGCAAAAGTAAAAAAAGGGAGAGGGGGATGGAGACACTGGTAAGGTAGACCAATACACATGGGCCCGTGGCAAGCACATGATGCCTTGCGAGTTGACAGCCATGAGGGAGATGGAGGGAGTGGCTTTGGCCTTCTCAAGGAGAGCAGCCTTCTGCCGCAGTCTCAGCACCCACCCACTCAAAGCAGAGCCTTCTGCCGCAGTCTCAGCACCCAGCACAGCACACTCACCAAGAACAGGGTCGTCGGACTTGGCGCCATTGACAGCGGGCTGGCTGTTGATGGTGAGCAGTCCAGCCGCGTTCAACTCCTGCAGCTGAGCACTGATGGGAGCTGAGTCCGCAGAGAGGGAGGCCTCCACCGCCTCGCTCCAGGGGAAGCTGCTCACCTCGCCACTCACAAACCGAGCAAAGAGCTGCAAGAGGGGGGGGGGAGAGGGGAGAGGGAGAGAGAGAGGAAGAGGGAGAGGAAGAGGGAGAGGGAGAGGAAGAGGGAGAGGAAGAGGGAGAGGAGAGGGAGAGGAAGAGAGAGAGGAAGAGGGAGAGGGAGAGGATAAGGGACAAGACAGAGTGGGCGTGGGGCCCAAGTCCGCAGAGAGGGAGGCCTCCACTGCCTCGCTCCAGGGGAAGCTGCTCACCTCGCCACTCACAAACCGAGCAAAGAGCTGCAGAGAGGGGAGAAGAGCGGGAGGGAGAGGGAGAAGACTAAGCGCCGCGCAACAAGCGAGCGCCGTGGCCCGCAACAGGCACAGCCCAGTCCCTGGCAAGCGCGGTAGCCCACGACTCCCTCTTGAGAAACGCCCTGTGCTTGCCGGGCAAGTCGCTGTAACGTAAGCATTGCCTTTTAGACGCTTTTTTCTTCCCTCACCTGCTTGACGTCTTCAGTGGAAGCAACGGGAACAGCCCAGTCCCTAGCAAGAGCCGTAGCCCGCGACTTCCTCTTGAGGAACGCCCTGTGCTTGGCGGGCAGGTCGCTGTAAGAGAGTGCCTCTGCAGGCCCCAGGCGGCCAGAGGGAAACTTGGTCCACGCTGCCGTGCGCGCCAGGTAGCTCTTGGGGCGCAGGGACCTGCAAGTGGTGGAGTGCGGTTGGGATGAGTATAGACGAATGGGTATGGGGTGGGTAGGGATGGGCACAGCGCCTCTGCAGGGCCCAGGCGGCCAGAGGGGAGCTTGGTCCTCGATGCTGTGCGCGCCAGGTAGCTCTTGGGACGCAGGGACCTGTGGGGGGTGGAGAACGGTTAAGATGGTATGGGGTGAGAGATTGTGGGTATGAGGTGCGAAGGGTGGGTAAGGGGTGGATACTGCTGGGTACAGGGTGTGAGTAAGCTGCAAGAGGGAAATTTGGCCCATGCTGCTGTGCGTACCAGGCAGCTCTTGTAACGCAGAGATGCGTTGAGATGCTCTCTCCAGTATCTGCCTCCTGACTGTGCCAGCAGCTCTCACCAGTAGATGGCACCTTACCATGCCAGCAGCTCTCACCAGTAGATGGCACCTCACCATGCCAACTTCTCTCTCACCAGCAGATGGCACCTGACCATGCCAGCTTCTCTCTCACCAGTAGATGGCACCTGACCATGCCAGCTTCTCTCTCACCAGCAGATGGCACCTGACCATGCCAGCTTCTCTCTCACCAGTAGATGGGGCGCACGTCCTCTGTGCATCGGACGATGTTGGTTGCTGACCGCCACGGCAGCGCACGAGGGATGTTGGACGCCTCTATGAGCCCCAGGTTCTGATGGGAGAGGGGAGCAGGAGGAGGGAGGACGGGAGGAGGGAACGAGATACAGTGAGATGGGAATTATGTAAGAATGAGTGGCATCAGCTGGCCGCCACGGCAGCGCACGAGGGATGTTAGACGCCTCTATCAGCCCCAGGTTCTGATGGGCGAAGAGGGAGGAGGTGAGGAGGGGAGGGTGGAAGTTACAGTGAGCTGAAGCAGGGGAGAAGTGGTTTGGCTGGTATTTACGCCACACACCCATGCAAGGCAACAGCAATTCACCCTGAAAAGGGCGCTGGTAATCTTGCCCTGGTTGGAGGGTGGAGTTGCCAAAACCAAAAGATTGGAGCATGCCGCTCGCTCACCCCCACCCCAACCAAACTCAGCTTGAGGATGGCGATGGTGGTCTTGTCCTGGTTGAGCGTGTACATGTGCAGAGTCGGGACGCCCACATGCAGGATGGCATGTACGTAGCACCCACCCAACCTACCTACCCACAACAGCACCCTACCTTGAGGATGGCGATGGTGGTCTTGTCCCGGTTAAGCGTGTACATGTAAAGGGTGTGGATGCCCACATCCCTTCCCACCACTCCCACGCGCATAACCGAAAGCACGCACCCAGCCAGGTCACACCTTGAGAATGGCGATGGTGGTCTTGTCCTGGTTGAGCGTGTACACGTGAAAGGTGTGGATGCCCGCATCCAGAATGGCATGTATGTATCACCCACCCAAGCTGCACATGCGAGCCACACCCCCAACCCACCCCAACTGTACCTTGAGGATGGCGATGGTGGTCTTGTCCTGGTTGAGCGTGTACATGTGGAGGGTGTGGATGCCCGCATCCAGAATGCGCCGGCACATCTCCGTGCCTTGTTGGATGCCGTACGCCCTAACAGCCTCCTCGTTATCCTTTATCGGCTCCAACGCGTCCAGAATGCTCTGGGGAACCTGTAATGGCGGGACGGAAAAAAAGAGTCGAACAAAGAGGCGAGTTGAACAAAGCTGTGTCAGTGACAGATCCTAACAGCCTTCTGCCTTGGTATCAGCGCCCTACTATTACTAATGGCCCTTTCATTGATAGTAGCGGTGTACACACATGCACACACACTCTCTCACACACACACCTTGGTCTTGCAGAAGGCGGTCATGCGCTTGAAGCCGCCGTACGTGGTGATGGGCATGATGCCCGGGATGATGGGCTCGCTCACTCCCATGGCGCGGCAGTCCGCCACGAACTTCAGGAAGATGTCCACATCGTAGAACAGCTGCGTCACTATCAGATCCGCGCCCGCATCCATCTGCAACAGGGGTTAAAGGTTTGAAGGGTTCGAAAGGGGGAGGGCAAGGGTGAGGGCAAGTGGGGAGGGCAAGGGTGAGGGCAAGTGGGGAGGGCTAGGGATGAGGGCAGTCCGCCACGAACTTGAGGGAGATGTCCACGTCGAAGAACAGATGCGTCACTATCAGATCCGAGCCCACGTCCAGCTGGGAGTGACACAGAGCAGCAACAGGTTTGAAGGGGAGAGGGCAATGGGGAGCAACACGAACTTGAGGAAGATGTCCACGTCGTAGAACAGCTGCGTCACTATCAGGTCCGCGCCCGCGTCCATCTGCAAGAGGGTTTAAGGTTTAAGGGAAGGCAGGGAGGGACAGGGATGGGTGGGGCGGGTTTAGGGTGTAAGGGGGCGACGCAAGGGGGGAGGAAGAGGGTCGAGGGGAAAGGAGAGTAGGACGGAAGTAGAGAGACGGGAATGAGGGAGAGCGAACACCACTGCTGGTACTTGTTTTGAGTCATGCTCACCTCAGCTGGCACGTGAGGGTGCACAACATCCATCCGTCATGCACTCTGTCATGCGTTTGTGCTGCCCATTTCGAGCGTGACGCCCCATCCACCCATCATGCATTGCCCCCTACCTAACTTGATTCACCATCCGCCCGTCATGTATTTTCCCCACCTTGGACTTGAGGCGCCAATCATCATGCACTCATCATGGATGTCCCCCGACCTTGAACGTGAGGCACTCCGGTCCTTCTGGTACTTCTCTGGTATTCCTTACAGTCAACTAAAAAGACGTGGGCCTGCGTGGCATCTATCTATCATGCACATATTCATCCATCCATCACGCATTCCCCTCCAACAACACGTATTCCCCCCCACCTTACCTTGGCCTTGAGGTACTCAAGGTCCTTCTGATACTCCTCTAATATACTTCTGAGTCAATTATAAACACATGGGAGTGCGCGCCATCTATACATCATGCACCCATCACATACCCATCACGCATTGCCCACCCATCGCGCATACCCCACCCAATCACGTATTCCCCACCCTTCGCGCATTCCCCACCCATCACGTATTCCCCACCCATCACGCATTCCCCACCCATCACGCATTCCCCACCCATCACGCATTCCCCACCCATCACGCATTCCCCACCCATCACGCATTCCCCACCCATCACGTATTGCCCCGCACCTTGGCCTTGAGGTACTCCAGGTCCTTCTGATACTCCTCTGGCGTCGCACCGTCAGGGCCGCTGATGGCGTCAGGATGCGCCTCTGCGATTACACGCGGACACCATGGCCGCATCGTAGGGGTGCAAGCGAATGGGAAGACGGGGTTTCACGTGAGTGCGGTTCAGGTCGTTTGGACTACGCAACTTGGACATTTGGGTCAACTCAAAGGACGGAATGGGATTCTGTGTGCACACTGTGGCTGCTTTGCAAGAGTTTAGCTGGGTTAGGAAATCTCTGTATGCCTGAGTGCGATTCATTTCGTCTACGCAACGCGTTTCTTATCAGTTTAGGACGACGGTGTTGTAAGTACTTGAGTCGATTCTCGTCAATTTCTTCCAGTCCTTATCTCACCTGGATATCCAGCAACCGTGATTCCGAAATAGTCGCCATACTTGGCGCGAATGTGCTTCACCTGCAGCAAGGAAACGAGGCAGGAGAAGCAAGGCGCGGGAAAGGCAAGACGCGGGAGAGGGCAGAGAAAGACAACAGGAATGGCAAGCCAGTGAGTGCGGTGAGAAGGAGAAAAATGGCATGATTCGCAACCTATCGTCGCACAGACGGAGCAAGGACGGTAGCACACAAACTGTCGCACAAAAACCAGGACAAAAGGTGGGATACAACCGTGGACGGAAAGTATCACAATAAGGATTACAGCCCAGGATATGCGCAAAGATTATATAGTCAGCGTGACGTCGCATGAATGATTGAACCTCAAGCTTAACAGGTCGAGCGCGCATGAAAAGCCACCCTCGGCGGCGACAAACTTGTCCTGGCCGCGCGAGGGGTCGCGCTTTTGAGCTTCTACCAGTGTGTAAATCCCAGTCTTACCAGGTCGAGCGCGCACAAGAAGCCGCCCTCGGCGGCAACGAACTTTTCCTTGGCGTGCGGGAGTTGGTTCTCTGACTCTCTCCCAGAGCGAACGATCCAGTCTTACCAGGTTGAGGGCGCATGAGAATCCGCCCTCGGCGGCGACGAACTTGTCCTGGCCGCGCGAGGGGCCGTGCTTTTGAGCTTCTACCAGTTCTACCAGTTCTGACAGTCCAATCTTACCAAGTCGAGCGCGCAAGAGAAGCCGCCCTCCGCCGCGACGAACTTGTCCTGGCCGTGCGGGGGGTCGCCGCGCAGCGCGAGCACGTTCTGCAGGCCGGCGGCCTTGATGTGCTCCAGCGCGTGGTCGATGCGCTCCACGGGCATGTTGGTGCACGTCAGATGCATCGACGTCTCCACGCAGATCTACGGTGAGGGTTGAGGGGGAGAGATACGGGGAGTGGTTGGAGGGGGGGGAGAGGGGGAGGTTAAGGGACAAAGGAGCGCGTGGTCGATGCGCTCCACGGGTATGTTGGTGCACGTCATATGCATCGACGTCTCCTAGCAGATCTGCAGAGAGGGTAGAGGGGAGGGGAAAGAAAAGTCGAGGGGGATGAGGGAAAAGAGTTACATGAGTCAAATCTTTATGTGCTCTAGCGCCTGGTCGATCTGCTCCACGGGCATGTTTGGTGCACGTCAGGTGCATTGACTTCTCCACGCAGATCTGTGGTGAAGAGGGGGAAGAGGGGTTGAGGGACGGACGAGGGAAAAGAGTGCTATGAGTCAACCCTTGATGTGTTCGAGCGCGTGGTCGATGCGCTCCACCGGCATGTTGGTGCATGTCAGATGCATCGACGTTTCCACGCAGATCTGTCGGGGAGGTAGGGGAGAAAGGACAAACAAGGGGAAAACGTTATATTAGCAAACTCTTGATGTGCTCCAGCGCGTGGTCGATGCGCTCCACGGGCATGTTGGTGCACGTCAGATGAATCGACGTCTCCACGCAGGTCTGAAGGGGGTGGGGGGAGAGTAGGGTGAGAGGACGGAAATGTAACATGGAAACGGTGATGAAGACATTCCTGAACCCGTTTCACGGGCATGCCAGTGCAAATCAGGTGCGTGGCGTCTCCATGCAGATCTGCCGGGAAGCCATGAGGGATGATGCACGCAAATGCGACGTGAGATTAAAATTATCTGTGGCATCTTGAACTTGCGGATTTGTATTGCAAGGTGGTGCCGGTCGGATGCATCAACGTCTATCCGTAAATCTGCAGGAAGGATGTTCGGCATGGCTGAGGAGACCATACGAGGGAATCAGGTGTTTGAGAGGCCTAAAAATCGGTCTACAGGCACATATTGCACTACATCTGTGCTCGAGATTCACGTCGTGATGTGAGGATATGGACAGGGAGAACGACGGAAATACGGAAGTTATAACCAATCGTTGGAGTACGTTAGCCTGAAATGAAGAGACTAATATTTCGGAGGAAAACGTTCGGCTATTCAGGCACTGACATTGTTCTGCATGCGAGTGGCGATCTCTAGGGTGAGATCCGCCGTCGATCCGCCTGCTCCCCACGTGATGTCGCAGAACGCAGGCTGGTACGCGACCATGCGATCCATGCGATCAAACAGATTCTCCACGCCATCCGCGGTCTTGGGAGGGAAGTACTCGAACGAGAATACCTTCCTTCCCTCATCTAATGCCGCCTGAATCTTCTGCGGGATCTTCATGGCGTAACGTAAGGAGGTCCGCAAAATGACGGAAGCTTTGCACGAGACAGTTCAGGGAAGACGAGGGAAACTGCTAATCTAGTATGCCTTAGTAGCAGACAACAGAAATCATTCTGAGTGATGGAGATGAAATCCTGAGTAAATCCCAAGGTGCAGCCCCAAGGGTGGTGGTGGAACAGTGCGTGAATCGTCCTCCCAATATCCTGGGAGAGGGGATCCCCTGGTGGTTCTGCTATGCAGCAGAGTTGCTGACAAATGGAACAGGCCCGAGTTGCCCATGAATGAAATCCCAAGGCCGAACCTGTTGGTCGCGTTTCGCTCACGTCGTATCTGAGTTACCCTGGTTTCGTGTGATGCATTTTCGACGATTTGCGACGACGGGAAACAGATAACATCTAGGCCTGAGTTGGGGAAAGCTGTGGCGGTCATAATTTCTGTCAGACGGTCCGGCGAACAACTGTCTGTTGGCGCGAAGCCGCGTTTGAAGTCATACAGTTCAAGGCGCAGTGGTACTTCCCGCCGAGTACAGTAAATGTTTACTGACAACGTGTCAATCACCTGTCTTGCAAAACTAATCTCAACGTTTGTATAGGTTCTTACCAAAGTGTTACATCGTCTCTATAGCGATTTAGAAGTTTCCAGCGCATCTGGCACCTAATATCGAAACGAAGCTTCTATGACACATCAGCAATCCAGTTTTGACAAGTCCTCATTGGTTGTTCAGGATGTTCAAGCTCTTCGACGAATTGTGGCAGACCACCCCATGCCATCCATCAAGCAGCCGATGTAGTGGCAAATCCCCCTGTCGCGAGAGCGAGCCCATTGCTAATCATCGCTTGGTAAGAGTTACCATTCTTCGTTAGCCTTTACTTGGTGGCGAAGACCGTGCCACGAGTCCACCAAAACGACCACAGGATTCTTCGCCAGCATCGTCTCTCCTTGGGTGCAGGAGGTTTCGCCACGCGACGCCTCTCAAATATTACCTCCACGTGTGTACCAGAATCTGGATTACGGTCTTCCACCTCCGGCCTCCACCCTAATTTGTAACTAAAGCTTCTTCTTCGCCTCAAATCTTTTATCAAAATTGCATCAGTTATTCCCTATTCTTGGCTTCGTCCAAACGGCTAATTTCTTGCAGCGACAGCGAAGCTTGTCTTCCGATTGCACAGGCCTGGGACGTCCAGAATGGCTGCCTTGACCAATTGCAGCGCGTCCAGGTAACACTTCTCGTAGAGTACTCAGTACATGTCTTCACTAGTAGTATTTTTACAGTCTCTCTTAGTCTCATTATTCCTCTGAGCTGCCATTACATATTTCCCGATTCCTCCGTGGTTCAAATCTTGATGCGCAGTGTCCGGGCAGCGGGTCTCGGCGTGGCGACAGCATCGAAGCTGTCGTCGTCGTCGTGCACGTCGTCCAAGTCGCTCGCCTTGAAACCCCGCCAGGATGCTTCCCGGACGGCAGGCCGGCAGCATAGCAGGTGCTCTGCGACTCCTCCCCCTGCCTTATTCCGTCCGACGCTTATCCTTACCTTGCTTGTATCGATATTGATATTGTATGTGAAAATACATAAGCAGAAAAAGAGCATCCTTCGTTTTGGGTACGTACTGTGTGTCGCTAGAAATGTCATGTTGGTGGCCAACGGATATTTCCCCCCCTCTCCTTTCCCTTACCCTCTCCTCCGCCAACCCTAACCAACCCTACCACAATCTCCCCTCCCCCTTGATTCTCCCCCTCACCCTAATCTCTCAAAGAATAACCGTTGCTGGTGTGTCGCTTGATCTGGAATGATTAATTTTAACTGGAATTACAATCGGAAATTGGATGGAATTGGGGTTGCAGGTTGGTTGTGGAGGCCAAGGGGAAGAAGAGCAACCAGAACTACGCGAGAAGACAACAGCAGCAGCAGCCCACCCCTCCGGAATTCGACCCGTCAGACGACACCCCCCGCTTCGTCCTCTTCATCAAGACTAAAGCGGTCAGTGCGACAGTGTGTTCGCCCTGATTCCTCTTCCTGCCTTTTAATATTTTCAGCATGGCTCTTGACTGATGAGTCAATAGCATGCCGATGTTACCCGCGTCGTCCTCTTCAGCAAGGCCAACGCGGTCTGTGCTAGAGTGCATTCGCGGTGGTTGCTGCTCCTGCTTCTCGATACCAAGGACGCGTTTTTTAGGGTAAATAGTAGTAATCTACCCACTGTATGCGTGGTTAGGGTTTGGTAGGTCAGTCATACTTGAGCCGTTCGATGCAGGAGCACAGATGACACTAGAACTAATTTGTTACAGCCCGAGTTCGCCTGAGCTGCCGCTGAATATCGGACCTTCTCGGAGTCGCGTCGCGTTATAGAATAGACGGATAGTCGAATCATCCTATTATTCGATCGTTTCATCGGGAAGCAGATCGGCCGTATGATAACCTTTCGGAAAAATGTATCGTTACTAGCCAATGGCGCAGTGCGCGTCGCAACATGTCTTACCTTTTTTTCTCGTACAGTGCTACCCGCACTTATCCGCATGTACAGAGCTGACGTGGGCTAGTCCGTACTTATCCCGGTGGTACCCTTCAAGGCAATCCGTTTTCCGTTCTGAAACGCGCTCGTTTACAGATGAAGCGGGGTACCCCCTGAGCGTGGTGACACGCCTTACATCGCCTCTCACATTGGCCCTTGTCGTTTTCCTTCCCTCTCCAATTTCTCGCTCACAGGTGAACCGGTGGTACCCACTGAGCGTGGTGACGGGCGGGACCACAGCATAGATGATGGTGGCAGTGATGCGCAACGACCTTCACGCATGCCCTCACATCAACCCCTTCCATCTCCCAACACATTCGCTCACAGGTGAACCGGTGGTACCCACTGAGCGTGGTGACGGGCGGGACAGCTGCGAAAATGATGCTGGCAGTGATGCGCAACGACCTTGGGAAGAAGCTGTATGAGGGCACTCTCACTCGCAACATTGCTGCTGTCGTGTACAAGGTGGGCTTTGGAAGTCTAACACATGAATCTTTTAGGAGTCACGTCACTGATGCGCAACAACCAGAGGAAGAAGGTGTATGAGGGCACGGCGGCACGCTCACACGCAACATTGCTGCTGTGGTGTACAAGGTGGGCTGGGGGAAGCGGGGGGTTTATGCGGTTAGGTAGGGTCAGACTCGGTAAGAGATGGGCAGGAATTTGATTGAGGGGCACGCTCACCCGCAATAAGGCGAAGGAAAGTGGGATTATGGCTGTGTAGAGAACAGCGGGTAACGCTCTACTAGCATCTCCCTGCTGCACACACACCACACATTCCCCTGCCACGCACACACCGCCTGTCACACACACACCCCCTGCAACACACCCCCCTGCAACACACCCCCCTGCAACACACCCCCCTGCAACACACCCCCCTGCAACACACCCCCCTGCAACACACCCCCCTGCAACACACCCCCCTGCCACACACCCCCCTGCCACACAACCCCTTGCCACACAACCCCTTGCCACACCCCCCTTTGCTACACATCCCCCCACACATCACCATGCCACTCACGCCCCTGCCACACGCTGCTCTGCGACACGCACACCTCCTCACACCGCCCAGCACCACAGACAATGACGACTGGCCCTCTGGAGGCAATGCTGTGCAATTTATAGGGATGACTACCTTAGATTGAGACTAACTTTGAGACGCCGCCCTAAGGTTGAGACTCAGAGCAAGTTGTATCTGGAGGGTGGCATTCGAATCTCCTGGTCAATCAAGACTCCTCTGTGCCTTCTTGTTGTGTGTATTTGCTGATTGGCTTTGTCAACTGTGTCGCAATTGCAATGTGTGTTGCAATGAGCAGGACGAGAAGGCGCTCCGCAACGCTGCCTTGAGACAATACCCCATGCTCAAGGGCGCGTCGGGCTACGACTACGGCTACAAAGTCATGGTAAGCGCTCTGTGTTTTGAGACGTCTCAAAACACTTCTTCAAACACGTGGCTACAAAGTCATGGTGAGTGCTCTGTGTGTGCCTGCCATCCATGGTGTGACGAGCTGGTAATGCATGCCATAGGAGCAACTGCTGCCTTGAGACCACACCCGTTGCTCAAGGGCATGTCGGGCTACGGTTATGGTTACTAAGTCATGGTAAGTCTTGAAAGCGCCTTGAAATCAGAATGAAGGGCGCATTGGGATACGACTATGGTCACAAGTCATGGTGATTGCTGTACTGTGGCAATGCATGGTGTCAGCCTTTGCTGAAGCTGGAAACGTTGAACTGACTCTTACGTGCCTGTATTTGTCCCTCCATCCCTCTGCTGCCCTCTATTCCCAGGATCCCGCAAATCCACGAGCAGCCATGTACGGCTCAGATGTCGTGAAGGTGAGTGAGTTCTTTAAAATATTATTGAAAGCTTGTTTGGGGTTACCTCATGACACGAGCAGCCATGTATGGCTCAGATGTCGTGAAGGTGAGTGAGCACTCTGCAATGTTTGTGTTAGCTTGTTTGGTTCTGGGTGCCTTGTGTAGCACGAGTTGCCATGTACGGTTTCAGTATTGTTAAGGTGAGTGAGTGAGCACTGAACTGCTTCACCCACCCCTTGTGCATACTAGTACAAGTCTGTTGGATGTCTTTCGTATGACCTGGAACATAGTGCACAGTAGGCATGGCAGTCATGGTAGACATGGCAGAAAAGCTGGCAGGCAGGACAGGGCTGGGAGGGCAGAGCAGTCAGATGAGTATCACCTCGGATGCTTCATAATTGCCTGATCCCAAACCCCCCATATTTTTCTGATCCTTGTCGACCAACAGATGCCGCCTGAGGCGGAGCTCAAGTCAGTGTTTGACAAGGCCAAGGAGTTTGTGGACGATAAATTCGGGAATGCCAAGGAAGCCTTTGGCAAGCTCTCCTCCATCGGCAGCCTAAGCCCGCCGGAAGAGGCGCCAAAAGCATCGGATGCCAACAAGACTGCACCCAAGTGATTAGTGAATGAGGCTTGCGCAGCATAATGGTTGCCAGCATAGTGTGTTTGCTT